ATATGTTGTTTCCAGTGTGTCATTTGTCTTCAGATTTTGCTTATTAATATTTTACCCTGCAATTTTTTTTAAAAAAATGTATTTAATTAGATTTATTAGTTTTTCCCCTATTGCTTCTGGACTTTGAATTATAGTTAGGTAACATGCCAGATTAAAGAGGAATTCATCTATATTTTATTCCAGTACTTGTGGGTTTTCATTTTCTACTTTTAAATCTCTAATCCATTTAAAATTCATTCTGGTGTGTAGTGTGGGTAATGGATCAGATTTTAACATTTTTCACATGGTTGTCCAGTTATCCAACATGAACTACTAAAAAGGCCAGATTTTCTCTATTGATTTGAGATGCTTCCTTTGTTCATTTGGTCAGCTTGTGTAATCTTAACAAACCTGTGAGCTAGATAGCATTATTTCTGATTTGACTGACAGGAAAATTCAGGCCTGGTGACTTGCCCGAGGTCAAATGGCTGGTTGGTGGTAGGGATGGGTTTTGAAGCTAGATCTTCCTGACCCTGGATCGGGATTTTCATCACTATACTGTATTTCCTATTACTTTTATCCTCATCCCACCCTTTAAAGCAGATATGGCAGCTATCACCATTTTGATGCTGCACAAAAACAAGGTAGCAGAGGATCAAAGAAGCCCTTTGCCTTCCCAAGGAACCTAAGTAATGAATAAAATGGTCAGCACCCATGTCAGATCCTTGTTATACCTCAAACAGTTGGGTTTTGGTGGATGGGATCATTGTTTATGGGTCTGCGAGGCATTGAGTAAGGTGAGAGTTGGCCAAAGCACAGGATGGCAGCAGCATTTAGAGGCTGGCTGATGCTCACTTTTTCCAACCCCCTGGGAAAAGATAACTTATCTAGTGTATTAATTCAAGTAATGCTAGTTGTTCTAACAAATAAATGCTAAAATTTAGTTATGTAAGAGATTAAGGGTTTATTTCCAATTCTAACTCCAATCAATCTTGTGGAGTGGGAAGATTCTTTTCAGTCATTCAGGGACCAGGCTTATTTTTTAACAGCTTTATTAGAATATACTTCACATACCATACAGTTCAATCACTTAAAGTGTACAATTCAATGTTTTTTGGTATGTTACACTATTTTTTTTTTAAATTGTGGTAAAAGGGCCAGCCCCTTGGCTCACTTGGGAGAGTGTGGCGCTGGTAGTGCCAAGGCCGTGGGTTTGGATCCTATATAGGGATGGCTGGTGCGCTCACTGGCTAAGCGTGGTGCAGACAACACCATGCCAAGGGTTGCAATCCCCTTACCGGTCAAAGAAAAAAAAATTGTGGTAAAAGACATAACATAAAATTTGCTATTTTAACCATTTTAATGTATAATCCAATAGCATTAATAACATTTACAATATTGTGCAACATCACCACTATGTATTTTCAAGTCTTTTTCATCACCCCAAACAGAAACTCTGTACCCATTAAGCAGTAACTTTCCCTTCCCCAATCCCCAGCCCCCCTAGTAACCTCTAATTTACTTTCTGTCTCTTTGAATTTGCCTATTCTAGATATTTTATATAAGTGGAATCATACAATATTTTTCTATCTATTTAACATTACCAGAAATATTTCTTTGTATGGCTTTGAGTTATTGTCCAGTGTCCTTTAATTTCAACCTGAAGGACTCCCTTCTTGTGGTGCAGCTCTAAGTGGCATCAATCTTTTTAAGTTTTTGTTTATATAAAAATGTTTTAATTTCTTCATCATTTTTGAAGGATTTTTTTGCTGTATATAGAATTCTTGGTTAACCGTTTATTCCTCTCTTTTGACACTTAAATATGACATCTCACTGACTTACAGTCTCTGCAGTTTCTGAAGAGAAGTCAGCTTTTAATCTTATTGAGAATACCTCATACTTGACAAGTCATTTTACTCTTGCTGCTTTCAATATTTTCCTTTCGTCTTTGGCTATCAATATTTTGTTTATAATGTGTCTCCATGTAGGTCTCTTTAATTTTTTTCTACTTGTAGTCTATTGAGAATCTTGGATGTGCAAATTTATGTCTTTCATCAAATTTGGGGAGTTTCTAGCCATTATTTCTTCAAATACTCTTTCTGCCCCTTTATCTCTTTCTTCTTCTGAAACTCCAGTATGTGTATAATGGTCCACTTTATGGTGTCCCACAGGCTCCTTAGGTTAAGTTTCCTTTCTTATCTTTAGACCTGATCATTTCAATTGCCTGCCTTCAAGTTTGCTCATTCTTTCTACTCAGTTCCTCTAATAAATTTTTATTTCAGTTATTTTACTTTTCAGCTTCAGTTTGTCTAAGTTTTTTAATCAATATTCTTATTTTGTTCATATATTTATTTGCTGATTTCCTTTAGTAATGTGCCCATGTTTTCTTTGAGCATATTTAAAACCATTCTTTTGGCCTTTGTCTAGTAAGTACAATATCTGGGCTTCCTCAGGAACAGTTCCTTTTCTGTCTTGTTCTTGTTGTTCTTTTGAATGAACCACACTTCCTTTATCTTTGTATGCTTTGTGATTTTTCTGTTGAAAACTAAGCATTTATGTATTGTAGTTTGGTAACTCTGGAAATCAGATTCTTGCCCTTCCCCACATTTACTTGTTTTGTTTTCTTTTCCTTTTTTATTGTTTTATTTATTTAATCTATCTATCTATCTATCTATCTATCTATCTATCTATCTATCTATCATCTATTTATCTATTTATATTTGTGTATGTGGCTGGACAATATGGGGATCCCAATCCTTAACTTTGGTATTACTAGCATCATGCTCTACAGACTGATCTAGCCAGCCAGTCCTCCTTTTTTATTTTTTATTGTTGAAGACTATAGCAGTCCCTTTGTTTAGGTATTTTTCCAAGCTATTTTTGCAAAGACTCTATTCTTTGTCATGTGTGGTCACTGAAGTCTATGTTAATTTAGCTTGTGTTTAGCTAATGTTTTAACAGAGATCTCCTTGAATGCCAGAAGCTAAGAAAAAAAAAAGCCAAAAAATAAAAGTCACATACTTTTCCCAGTCTTTGTAGATTGTGCCTGTGCTGGGGCACTCCTTCATCACTTAGCCAGACTTGCACTTAGTCTAGGGATCAGACCAACATGTAAGATTTGGGTCTTCACTGGTATTTTCTGAGCATGAATCTTGCCTTTTGTGTGCCTTTCTTAATTCCTCCATATGATGCCTTTGAATGTCTTTTCCCAAAGGGTGTCCCCTAGCTTTTGCTCCCAGATTGAGGCAGTCTTCATCCATAATCTTTTGCTTTAAGCATCTGTGACTTGTTAGTTTGCCTTGCAGCATTTTTAACAATGGAAAAGTCCAGTCTTCATTCTGAATTGAGTGAAAGAGATGAGCACCTTGTATCAATCCCTTGGGTTCCCCAAACACAGGTTAGAACAGACAGACACACACAATAATTTGTGAGTAAGTTTTGGAATCAGGGATGAGGGTCTCACATCGGGAACACAGGCTGATGTTCTTGTAAGATCACCACTACCTTAAATCTGCCACAGCTCTGGGGTGAGGGATGTGACAAGGGCAAGTAAAAATGCCACAAAACTTTCCTACCATTTTTAAGTTGCCTTTCTTCTTGATTCAGCATTTGCTTGGTTGATAGAAACCTTTAACTCTTTTTCAGAGTTCTGACAACATTGGTTCTGACACTTTCTGCTTGCTTTTCTGTTTCAGTGAGGGAATGAGAGATTAAAGCTGCCTACTCCTCCATTTTGCTGGCTTTCTGTGTCATTTTTAATATATTAATTCCAGGGTTTCAGTAGGTGTTCACATGCATCAGAAAATGAAAGTATGAAGAAAATTAAGCATCATATAGGAGGTGTTTTTGAGCCAGGCCTGGGAGTGGCATATATCATTCTTATCCATATTCCATTGGTTAGAAATCAGGCATGTGGCCCCACTTAACTGAAAAGGGGTTAAAAAAACGTTGGCTTTTAATGTTCCCAGGAGGAAAGGAGAGTAGGTTTGGTGAACAACCAGCCAGCTTCTGCCACAAATAGCAAATAGCTAATATCCTTTGACAAGTAGAGTTGTGTCTTTGAAAAAAAGCTATAACTGGTATCAGGCAGGAGCCTTGTTACTATTGATGTTAGGCTGTCAGAACTGTAAAAATCTTTAGAGATCATCTATTCCAATCTCTTCAAGTGCTGGGGCCTCTAATTCCCAGGAAATAGGGGAGGATGTGGGTGCTGGCCAAAGTCATACTGAGTCTATACCAGAGCTGAGATGAGAGCCAACTAGGTCACTCACCTCTCTTCTATACATTGGTATTCAAACATTTTTAACCATGATCCAGAGTAAGAAATACATTTTTCATTACAATCCAACACAAACTTACATATTTTCTATCTGTAAAAGCTTGATAAAACAGTACTGATAGTATCTATTTGTCAAATTGTCCCAGCTCCCCACCTCCTGGCATACTGTAGAATTGCACTTCCTTATACCCTTTGTAGTTAGTAATGATCAGGTGATGTGTGTGGCCAGGGACATGTGAGCAAAGTGAAATGGGTAATTTATCTGAGAAATCTTTAAGAGCCAGTGCACAGTTCCCAAAGTTCTCTTTTCCTTGATGCTTCAAACATGGCACCTCAAAAATGAAACCTCTGTCACTCTGGGTAACCCATTGAAGTTAATGTAGATTAGAGCCCACAGGAAACCCCTGATAGGTAAATAGTGTGAGAGAGAAATAAATTTTTTTTAAACACAGCAATTTGGGGTTTGCTTTTTGCTATAGTATAAACTAGCCTATGCTGATTGATGTAAATACTTAGCTTTACTACATGATATGCACTCTAATAGTTGATATCATTATTCTGTTTTGTTTTATTTCAGTTTTCAATGATGGCTGCAACCTAGTAAATTGATTTTATGACCTGGTAATGGAATTGCAATGTGCAGTTTGAAGAATACCACTCTGAACAATGTTCACTTGTTCTATAGCTGATCCTCTGTCCAAGTTCCTGTAGAGCAATGTTCATGATTCCCATCGTTCTGCAGGATTGTAGTTATGGAGAGGGTGGAGATGCATACTGCACAGCCTGCCTTCCTCAAAGGTACAAAAGCATCTGGGGCCACCACCGTTGTCAAACTTGCATGACCTGTGCTGTTGTCAATCGTGTCCAGAAGGCCAACTGTACAGATACCTCTAATTCTGTCTGTGTGGACTGTCTGCCCAGGTGAGCCTGCTGTATTGGGACAAGCTCCTCCGGAATTTCTTTAGCCGTTGGAGTTCTCTCTCATCTTCACTGCTCAGAAGCTAGTTGAAGTTTTCTAACTATCCATATCATATTCAGTGTAAGTTTCAGATGGCACCATCTCTTCCCAAGGTCCCTCTATAAAGTGCCTAGCACATTATCGGCCACAGCTGAGCACTGAACAGCTTTTTCATCATGCTGACACTTTAGCCCAGGCCTCTCACTGCACACTTAAAAGTAGTTATGAAGCAGTTGGTATCAAAGCAGTGCTCTTCTCTCTTGTGGGATTAACTCCCCTTTTGGCTATAGGGTTTGGTGGATGGCGGAAGAAGTAGAGTGTCTGGGCCTCAGAGTCAGAATCAGACACAGAGGCAGAGAGTTCATAAGGAGGGATAGGTGCTGGCTTCCAGGAGGGCAAGACTCTTAGAAGCTGCCTAAGGTCCTAGGAATTGCTTGCTTGATCAACCTGCCATTCCTTATTGCTCTCACCATAGGTTCTACTCAAAGACATGTATTGGAGGCCTGTAGGACCAAGAGTGTATCCCATGCACGAAACAAACCCCCACCTCTGAGGTTCAGTGTGTGTACCCAGTTCTCTTCTCCCTATTCCTCCACGACCCATTAGGTGGCAACAAGGTAGGTTAGTGAATATTTCCCCTACCCTCTCGTACTCTGTCCTGATAGAGTGGCTAATCAGTTACATTTTAATCCTGGCATCAACATATATTATCTATTTAATAACCCTTTTCAAACCATTCAAACTCATTGAACCTTATTTTCTTCATCTGAAAATCTGAGTCATGATAATCATTTTTCTTCACACCTTATGAGATGATTGTCTAGGTCGAATGAAATAATGGATTTTAGAAAGCACTTTATAAATTATGACATTCGTACACTTATGAATTATTATTATTATCATCCAAGTTTATAGGCATTCCTAAGGCTTAGAACTTATAAAAGGCTGAAGAACTAGGGTTTGGTCTAATCCCATATCACTATCCATTTATCTGTTTGTCTGTCTATCATTTTTGTTTGTCTATTATCTGTCTATCTTCTCATTTATTCTTCTTAAATTATCAACACATTTTTTTCAAACAAAATATTTGAAACATGTAGAAATATTTTTATTTATTTTTTTTCCGTTAAATTTTTATTTTGTCAATATACACTGTATATGATTATTATGGCCCATCACCGACACCTCCCTCCCTCCTCCCTCTCTCCCCTCCCCCCCAAGAATGTCCTTTCCGTTTGCTTGTTGTAACAACTGTAGAAATATTTTTATTTATTTTTTTTCCGTTAAATTTTTATTTTGTCAATATACACTGTATATGATTATTATGGCCCATCACCGACACCTCCCTCCCTCCTCCCTCTCTCCCCTCCCCCCCAAGAATGTCCTTTCCGTTTGCTTGTTGTAACAACTGTAGAAATATTTTTAAATGCATTCAAATTTACTAATAAAAATGCTCGGTTACACAACATCCAGAATTAATAAATCCTAACATTTTGCGTATTTGCTTCAGAATTTTTTTAAAGAACAAATATTCCACAGGTGCATACTCCTTGAGATCCTGAGTTCCATTCTCTCCCTACCTTCCCAGATACAACCACTATCCTGAAATTGTATGTATCCTGTTGGTAGGCTATGCTACAGTAACAATTGAACCCCAAAGTCTCAGTGGCTTAGTACAATTAAAGTTTATTTTTTACTATGCAAAGATCATTCTCCATCACATCACTATGCCTTCTAGACCATGTGGCTTCCTGGTCAATGGTTCAGGGGAAGCGATGGAGGAGACATACTGACTCTTAACTGCCTCAGTCTGTAAGTGACACATTATTTCCACTCACAATCCATTGGCCAGAAGTACTCTGATGGCCTTACTGCAACAGTATAAGGGGAATGCAGGGGAGCACGTGGGTAATTGGTGAGCACTCAGCCTCTTCCATATTCCCCACTAATGTTTTAACACTTGTATTATTTTTTGATATATGTGCATATTCATAAGTAATATATACTACTGTTTTATATTTTATAACATTTTATATAAATGATATCAAGCTATAAACTCTCTCTGATTTGCTTTTACCCTCTGGATTATTTATATTAATCCATAAAGGTCTTTTACTTTTACTTTCGGTGCTGTATATGAGGGTACTTCGAAAAGTTCATGGAAAGGGCCGGCCCGGTGGCACACTGCTACAGTGCACCGCTTGGGAGCGCGGCGGCGCTCCCGCTGAGGGTTCGGATCCCACATACAGACTGGTTCCCGCTCACTGGCTGAGCGAGGGGCGGGCGCAGCACCAAGGGTTGCGATCACGTTGCCGGTCCCGGTCCGGTACGGGCGCAACAGTGAGGGTTGCGGTCCGTTGCCAGACACAAAAAAAGACAAAAAGGAAAAAAAAAAAAAGAAAAAGAAAAGTTCATGGAAAAATAGAATTGAAAGATAATACGAATCTTTCCATGAACTTTTTGAAGTGCCCTCATTATAATATTAGATTTTAGAATTATATCATGATTTATTTATTTTGTGCTCTACCGATGTTTTTAGTTTGTTTCCATTTTTCTAGGTTATAACTAGATGTGGTATGGAAAGACCATAAGATAGGCACATCTTCAATTCATTCTACTGATTTATATATACCATACTAGCAGTATATATGCAACTTCTTCTGCTTTGTTCTTTATAATTTTGCCTGCTCAACAAAGAAGTAAAACCAGAATATCAGCCCTAATTGGTAAAGAGCCTAGGGAAAGAGGTGATGGCTTGAGGAAGTCCAGGCCCTGTTACAGGCTGTTGACTGTCTACACTATCTGACCTCCCCTACTTTCTTGTCTCACAGGTGCCTTCCCGTTGAGCTTAGTGAGGGCAGATGCACCCACAGTGCCCCCTCAGGAAGCCACATTTGTTGCACTGGCAAGCAGTCTGTTAGTGGTGTTTTCCCTGGACTTTCTGGGGCTCTTCTTCCTCTACTGCAAGCAGCTCTTCAACAGATATTGCCAGCGTGGTAAGGGTGGCTGCTTTACATTTCACATGAATCAGGAGAAAGGCTCTTATTGGCAGGAGAGAAAATTTGGGGGGGGGGGGTTGAGTTAATGGGTCTTTCCTACCATGCTGGAAAACCCTAGGGGTGGTCTTCTGTTAGTCTGAGGAACTATCTGGGGCAGCAACAGAAAACATGGGACTTCAGAGATGACTGAGGCCAACCCTGAGAGTTTAGGGGATCTGGTTCATTAGGTTTCAGAGGTTCATAAAAGAGAATGGCATGGTTGGAAAACCCCTCAGGAACGGAATCTGGAGATCTAGGTTCTAAATCTACCTCTAAATCACTGTGTAAACTTAGACAGGTCATCTAGCCTCTTTCTCTCTAATCTTTAAAATGAAAGATAGGATTGAATTTGTTTCTAAGGTCTTTTCCAATTCATCATATCTATACTAGTTAATGTTAAAAATGTACATTTAAAAGCCCAATGGGTATCAAACCAGTCAGCTTATACCTTCAAGGTCATCGAGTCCATTCTCCCATCCAAGGCCTTCAATCCATGCTTAGGTCCCTTTTATAATATCCCCAACAAGAGTTTGTGTAGTTCTTGCTCACATACTTACATTGGCAGAGACCTGACTGCTGCCCAATGTGTATTATAGCTATAACTGATAGATTTGAGTTCAATATTTAAAAAAAAAAACAAAAACAAAAACAAAACTTTGTCTCCCTGTAGTACCCACCCATGGGTCCTGGCACTGTTCCTTTGGCCATACAGACCTCATTTGCTTTTTATGCCTTGTGATAGCCCTGCAGAGGCCTAAAGACAGTGTCTTCCCTCTGCAAGGTACAACTTTAGGTTCTTCTAAAGTATGTGGGGCTTAGAACTAAACCCAGTTTCATGAGGGATGGTCTCGCCATTGTATAATATGGTAGAATTGTCATCCTCCTAGATAGGTAATGTATTTCTGCTATTGCATTCTAAACCATTGGCCTAACTCATGATTCGGGAGTGGGGGAGAGTGGTAAGGAGAGGAGGAAGCTAGTGAAATTGCCCTACAGGTTTCTAACTTGATCTGCTCCCTCCCTAGGTCTCTTGGGCTCCTGGTGACCTTGCCCAGTTGTTCTCCCTGGACTCTCATGCCTTGTTCCTGTACCACAACAGTAATTAGGACCTGGGATATGGTGCCCACAACAGCCAGTATCCTACAGATGGGATATATTCTATCTCATCCACCAGAGAATTGGTTCTCTACCATCTCCCCGGGACTGACCTGTATTATTTCTTCCTTTCCTATTCTAGCCTGGAGAGCCAGATTCCCCAGCTGGGACTACCAGACATATTCCTAGCTTGACCTGATTATAGAGAAGAGTGCTGATTATATAGAAGAGTGGATGGAAGAATGGGGTAGGGTTTTCCTGCCTGCATTTTTGGTCAGGTGGTCTTGAAGGCAGGGTTTCTCACAACTCTACTGATACATCTCCCTATAACTTTAGGGATAAAATCAAACCCTTCCCTTTGTAGCTCCTCTGCACTGCCTCCTTACCCAACACACACACACACACACACACACACACACACACACACACACACACACCTTGAGGGAAGCCTGGTGCCATGATTCCCCAACTCATGTCGTAGACTTCTACATCTGTCACAGCTCTAGAGACAGCATATTTTTCATGGTCTTTCTCCCCACAAATAGGTTTCTACCCTTATTTAGTGGTGATTCAAATCATTGTCTCTTTGATCTTTAAAATGGTCCTTCCTAAAATGCCTTTTATTTTTATTTCTCTTCTACTCTTGCCTCTTTTGTCCCTTCCTGGTGCCCGGTCTTCTAAAGCCCAAAACTCAGTGTCTAGATCCCCAGGGACAAATCAAAGCTCATATCTGTGGTAATTGGGGTGACAGTGAAGTTCCTGAGGTCTGGAAGTGGGACACTGAGGAGCTTTCTCACTGAGACTTGGCCCTAGGGCGGCTCAGGAACTATTTGGTGCATTTTTGGCTTAAAGGAAAATCAATTAATTTCTCCCGAGCCCTCATCAGCAGTTTCACATGATATGAAATGGAACTACTCTCTCCATGGCTATCTGATGGAACAGGGCAGATGAGACTCTCAGGGCTCAGGTGTGAGCATCATAGATTGTTTGTAAGTTTCCCCTTATGTCCATAATGGGCCACTTGGGTTGATGCCCACTCCCTCATGGTGGATCAGATTTGGAAGAAAAATGTGCTCAGGTGACTGAAGCAACTGTCTCCTTTGGGAGCAGCTTATATAGTCTAGGATGTTAGATGTGACTTAGTTTGTAAAATCCAAGACAGGAGATAGGGTATAGTTATCCTGGATTAAAAATGCTGGAATCCACTACATGTATGGGTGCTGCACTTTACATTTTCCATTGTTCTTTCACAGCCCTCAACTCATTAGTTCTTTACACAGACTCTGTGGTGGGTAAGGCAGGGATTATCATCTCCAGTTTACAAATGAAAAACAAAAAACAAAAAACCCTGAGGCCCAGAGATGGAAAGCAACTGGCCTTAAGTTACTCAGCAATGTAGAGATGAATAACAAGGTTAGGATGGCATTAGGGCTTCTTCGATATCTTAAAATGTTCATTTTCTATAAGACAGTGTTTTGGTGTAGGAGGATTTTGGTTCTCTTGGCATATCTATTCCAGGAAACAACTTTCTTTCAAAAGAAAAGGGGTGGAGAGACAAATAAGGCCCTTATGCCTGCATGTGAATGGGGTAATATTCTTGCCCACCATACAGAACCTGTTCTCTCCTCTTCCCACCAATTTCCCTCTCTGCCTACTGCCTGTTTGGTATATTCTCTGTCAAGTCTGACCGCAGTGGGAAGCTAAGAGACTTTCCATTCAGCACTGTTCCACAAGAGAAGAAGTGAGAATTCTTACAAGCTCAAACAGCACTTTCTTTTTGTCTATCTTATCTCCTTTCCCCCCCCCCCCAAACCAGTAGGAGCATCTCTCCTACTTGACCCTGTCCCTCCATTCCTCCTTTGTGCAATTAAAGAGTCTCTGATTTTAGTTTGGGTGAATTGAGACTTTAACTTTATTTAAAGGTGGAAGGGGCAATTCTCTCATCTTTAGAAGCCTCCACAGGTAGATTATAGATATTTGAGCAAAACTGTTAGTAGTAACACTTCAGTGCTTTACAGTTTATAAAGGTTTATTTATATACTATGCCTATTTTAAAGATGAGGAGACTGAGGCCTAGATAGTAGTGACTTACCCAAAGTAATTCATATTTGAGAAAGACAGTCTGCCACACACATTCACCCCAAGATCCAAGTGTAGATCCCATAACAGAGTAGAGGCTAAGGAAGGGCAGGTAAAGCAGAAACTGCCCTTGGCAGAGGGACAGGCAGGGGTGTTGAAGGGCCCTCTTTGGTTATTTCTCTTCACTAGACACTGCCTAAATGACCCTTAAAAGATCACTAAGGAGCCCTAGGGGAGAGATTTAGGAAACTGATTAAGACAGCTCATCCCCACCAGCAGGAAAAGCAATCAGTCCCATAGTCTGTTAAGTGCTATGAAGGCAGCAGTGTAGTCTTCTATTTAAAAAAGTCAACTCTGTGCCCCATACACACACACACACACACATATGTGTGTGTGTGTGTGTGTGTATGTATATATATATATATAATCAATTACATTTCAATTAAAAAAAAAAAGAAAGAAAAATAGCACATGATTTCATCTATATCTTAGTCCAGGTGGTGAGGTTTGGAAAGGTTTTTTGCTTCTCTCCTCCTCTTTTACTCCCTATAGCCTATAATGATTCCTTTGCCTACTTCCAGGTTCCGCTAGACTCATTGTACTCCCTAGTTCAGCTGGAGGGTCTATGCACTTCTGAAGAGCAATTGTACTGAGTTGCAACAGAGGGCAGGCAAGCAATTTCCCTCTGCATCTCCTGGGCCTCACCCAGTAATTGAAGTGCTGTAATTCTCTACCCACCCACCCCCTCCCCCCCGCAGCAGGGAGCAAGGTTGGAGTTTGCCCTCTTGAAACATTACAGAACATTTCTGAGCCAAGATGACCTTCCCTTTGTGGCACGGGTTCCCCAAACTACCTCTTCGCAGTCCTCAAAAGACATCCCCAATCCATTGAGGGGCAGCTGACTGAGGAGAGATAAGTGGCCTCACTGCCTCTTTCTATTGACCTGTCAATTGGATCCCAGCTCTCTCATCACCCCTCCCCCTTTGATTCTTTCTGTAGTGTCTTTTTGACTTTAGTTTCCACCTATACATTTCATGACCAGACCGAATCAGTCGGTCCCACAAGTTCCTGTCCCACAAGTAGTTGATGGTTAATTAAACACATTTTAATGGCAGAATGTGTACTTCATCACCAGGTCCTAGCCATAGTAAAGGAGTGTTGTCTACCACAAGACATCTGCTTTTAGGATTTTATTAAATGCATCTTTGGGGACAGTCCATAACAAACGCTAATTAAGGACCCCTGGGGCAACACATTGATCATGGTGCTAGAAGCACCTGGGAAAAAGCAAAAAGGTCCCATTGTACTGGAGTGGGGATTAGAAGCAATTGACTGTAAGCCTGCAGCAAGAAGCCTGACCTCACACACATATTAGCAAATATGTGTGAGCCAAGGTTATAGGGCTTGGCCTTTTCATTCTGTTCTTTTTCTTCTAGGACAGTTTATTCTTATCTCACTGGCTTTAATTAGTTATGTCTACAACTTCTGGTAGGGGAAGAATTACTACCCACACAGAGGATGATTCAGCTTGAGCAGTCCCCAGGTGTTCAAAGGTCACTACATGCCTGGCAGTGGTTCAAACCCAAGTCTAACACTGCTGCCCTATAGGAAAGATAGTGATTGTAATACAATAGTAATAACAATAACATAAAATGATGCGGTCAGCCTTCTTCACTGTGCCTGCTCATGGCATGAACATTGTGTGACCATCCCAAGCCATACCCAGAATTATCTTGGTTCCAACATTTTGAATTTCAATAATGGGAGTTGGCAATTAAATTAGGGCAGTGATGTTTTGCTTGCTTTGCTTTTTAAGGTATCTTGGGTAGAGGTGAAGTGAAGAATGTTTTTCTTTTTTATAATTGTTGTTTGGCCATGACAAATGTCATACTCGAGTGTTTGCTCCAGAAAAGTTCCTTTAAATATTTCCTTTTCATTGCTTTTAAAGTAGAAACATCTTTGAGCACTGTGCTTGTATGTGTCGTTTCTGCTTGGGGGTTATTGGTCAGTGGAAGTAAAAAGTACACTTGATAGAAACATTTTCAACATACCCCTGAGCCTAGACAATAGTTGAGTTGTCTATATTTGGACAAAGGGGAAGGGGTGATAGAAAAGCTGGGATCCGACTGACATGTCAAAAGACAGTTGTTTTAGTTTGTAAGGGAGGAGAGGTGTTTGATGGGGGTGAGTTGGGGGTTTTTTGGTTCACTGTTTGCCTTTTCATACACCTTGACTTGGATTTTGACAGAGTTGAGTCTGGGAGAGAAACTTTCTTCTCCAAGGTTGTCAGATCCAGGCTAGGTAAGGGCGCTGATTACAGCATCCACCCTCCTCCCCAATACAAAGCCCTGCCACACGGACATGATAATCCCTCCTGTTTTTCACCTGCTCCCCACCCCCATCTCACTACTAAGACCTTTAGGCCTTACATTGAGTGTACATACATTTTAATTACCTTTTCTCCTTATGAATGGGTTATTTATAGAGATTTTGTTAAATCTTGAGTTATATGCTTGTATGGATACTGGCAAGTTTGTGTTTGGTTTATGATGCTCCACAAACATTTCATATTATCTGATAAACAGAAATACATCCAAATACCTTGTTTAATACTCTCCTTTCAGAGAACAAGGTGCCTCATTTGGTCAGTGTGTCTTTGCTCAGTGAGCACTACAAGGAAATGTGTTTCTGATCATTGGATGTAGCACCAGGGACAATGGGATTCATTGACTTGTCACCTAGGAAATCTGGGTTACAGTCCAAGGTCTCCTTCTATGTTTTGAATTGTTTATAACATTTGAATTCTCATCTGGGCTACAAATTTACTATAAACTCTTGTGTTCTAAACTCATACATCTTGGACAGGGTTTCATGGTCTTAAGAAGACTGTGCACATGTCTTCTGAGGTCTGAAAACTTCCCAGGAATTTGTGTGTGTGTGTTTTCATTTCAATCATAATATATATTTTTAAAGACAAGCATATTCTAGCTAGACCATCTGGATGATTGATTACCTTTTATGAGTACTGTCTTGCCATATCAGGGTCTGTATTTGTGTTTGCAATCTCATTGGATTAAAGAGACCACCTA